TCAATAACAATGATCAAAGTGACGTTGTTATGAAATTCATCTAAAATTCAGTGCCACTAAACAGCAATGGAACAAAAAGGTCAAATAGAAACGAACGCAATACCAATTATTACAAGTAATACAATAGCAAGCAAAACACTTACCTGGTGGAGTGCTGCAGGTGCCCCGTTCGTAGGACTACCCTTCTGTGAGTCGTTATTTCTCTCCTTATATTGACACGTCATTGCTGATAACATCGCCGCTATCTCGGGCATTGTCCGAGTCTCGAATTTATTATCCAACATCAACTCAGTCACGAGTAATTCCTTCAAGCAAATTCAAAATTTGAACATCCTTCCGGAAAACTCCACATAAAAGTGGCATTTCAATAAGACAATGATTCCCAAGTTCCGAAGAACAACTTCTTAATCCACTGGAACATTCCACATAAAAAGTGAAAGTTCTTCTCGGAAACAACGAATAAACTCAAATAATAACCTGATGATGAATTTCACATGCCACTTTTCCTTTTAACGTTACCAAATTCGAATCATCCGTATATCCCAAACGATTCAACACCTAAAAAAGAACAAAANACTGAACAACAACCCATCTCGTTCCATACGTAAGTGTGTTCTCTCAGCCACATTCGCCAACTGAACAGCAATATTAAAACGAATGCATCACCAATGAATCAAGAAACGAACCGCACCAATTAATATTCAACTAAAACTCACGTGCTGTTGAAACGACACACAACTTCTACACGGATATCTCTTATAATCGATCAACATATTTCTCATCACATTCAAATTCATTATCTTATCGTAAATTTCCACATCTGTTATTTGCAAATCTCGGCCAGGAAGAACCACATTTGGACCGTCTGCGTTTTGTTTTGTCCATTTTTCGGTCAGTGAATCCAGTTCAATGATTATTTTACTTATTGCTGGATCAGGAGATCGCGTCCTGGAATACAACAAACCAAATTTTTTGGACTTTAAGTTTAGAGAAATTTACACTTGTTCTATGAGTGCGAATAACAAAGACAAACAACAATAGCAATAAAAATACAAACATAACAACAGCGCACTACCTGAATCGAGGTCCGTTCCGAATGCGTGCATCCGTCACAACAGCACCGATATCGATCTTAATTTGTTTCTGACATATCGCTAGAAGTGAACTGATCGCAACGTCATTCACTAAACGATACGTTCTTCTTGACGAACCTTTCTTCTCAATTTGCAGTCTCTCGAGACCGATCAATGCCGCACCTTCTATCATGGCTGATTCTCGTTTCCATTCACGCTCCTCAAATGATTACATCATACTCACATACCACTACAAATCAATATTTTACTCAAACACACAATTCACTAAAATTATCCTCTGATTTCAACCAAAACAACTGAATAATCTTCAAAATTCTCATTGCATCACAAAAACTAAACAAAATTCGGAATCAAAATCATTTTTTATTGTTATAGCAATGTCTTAAAAAGTGTTTATTTTATTCTTTTTATTNTCGTAGGTATGACTGCACGAAACTGTTGCTAACCTTTTCAGGGAGTTTACTGAATGCCTCAAAACGTTGTCTGTCGCGTTCTTCCAGATTCGGATCGTCTTCAACCGATATCATTAACTGCATCACTTTCCGTTGACCTTCACTCTGCACCTGCAACACAAACCAACGATACATTTCTAATGAACATCAACAACAATCAAGTGAGGGATACAGTGAAACAATACAACACTTCAGCGACCGTACATGTTCCAAACAGAATCTCAATGAAAATTCCAAAAAACTACCGAATTCAACCCGAAAAACCTTCAAAATTCTCTTTGCAGACTCAACTCCAAATAAACTAACCTTCATAATTATGCCCAATGTTGCCTGTCTCCCGATCTCGGGTAATGCCACGATCACCAATCTGCCCAATGATAGCATCTTATCAACCACTGGATATCTTATCAAATCCGTCCATAATTCACTACGAAATCGAACAAAGTCCCGCAACTGCATATAATACTCTTCGATAGACCACTGATCTGTACCATCGTCAACGCTGCCTCTATCATTCTTCTTACAACATATATCACATTCCAATGGCGGCATTTGCGCTAAGGTCGTCTCTACCTAAAAATTTACTTCACAAAAGCAATAAAAACAATAGAAAGGAAAGTAACAATAACAAGGACTTGATGAGCACTTTTACGTCAGAAAACAATAAAGAATATTTGTGCAATAGAAACGCATANAAATCAATCCTCTGCGAAATACAAAATATTATACAAATAGAAAGGGTAAATAAATAATAGCATAAAATATTAAATTAAACCTTCTTCAGAGTCGCTTTCCTCGAGAGTGCAAGTCGCAACGAAGCGCTTTCGACATACGACCGTTGTAACATGTCTTCGATTCGTAAATGTTCAACACGCAATAAATTCAACAGCATACTGTATGTTACCCGGAATTTTGATTCCAGTTTCATTGCTTTTCCCTGAAAATTCATGATCATATGAATGAACCAACAATTTCTTAATCAGGCCATTATACACATTCTCACTAACGAAAACCTGAAATAAATAAATAATAGCATTCTAACGAAAACGTGAAAGTCTTACGATCAGAAACATTAATAATCATCACAAACTACTAAAACAAAAAAAAACATAGTCGTAATTAAATCTTCAGCACAACAAACCAGCATCATTCTAATAAGCTCGGTCGGCTCTGGTGCCTCAGTTCCCTTGCACAGCACAATCACAGTACCTGTCGAGTCTAGACCACGACGTCCTGCACGACCTGCCATCTGAAACGTCTCGGAATTCAGTTCGAATGCAAATTCCAGACAAACTTCAAAAATCATTTTCGTTTATAATGAGCGGAACAAAAATACTCGAAAAGCAAACCGAAACAAAATCTCATAATAACCTGAATATATTCACTCGGACTCAACGTCCTCAACTCCCTTCCATCATGTTTTTGCATACTATCGAAAACAACCGTCCTCGCTGGCATGTTCACTCCCATTGCAAATGTCTCTGTTGCAAATAATATCTTAATCACATAAAACAATTCATTTTCTTTTTTCATTTTAAAACACTTTTAACAACGACTAAACAAAATATTATTTGCATCATCACCCTGAATTAAAAACAATCAAACCAAAAAATCAAGCATGAACGATCATGGAACACTTCAAATGGAATGAGTAAATGCAAATGAAACAGAATCAATTTAACTCAAAACCTTCACATATCCCTTCTGGAAAAGTAATTCGACAACTTCTTTCAGAATCGGCAAGATTCCACTATGATGGACCGCAAAGCCACGTTGACACAGTTCCGCCATTTGCAAAACCTTTATCAAATTCAATCAATTCAGTTCATTCTCAACAAATACATATCGAAACCTCGGTTTACGACCAACCTTCTGCAGAGAATATCGCTCGTAAACCAAAGTTCCACTGTAAATACATAAAATTCTAGTGAAATCAGTCTTCCTGAATCAAAATCACCAATTAACATCATCTGATCTAAATGAAATCNGGTAACTTCTTATCCGATCCCTTCAGTCGATCAATACATTTCGCGAAGAAATTTTTAATATCAAATTTTTCCTTTGCAGTCGTTAAGTCAACCGATTGCAATAATGCTGCGTTCTCATCACATCTCAATATCAATTTATCAATCAATTAACTCATTCAAAACGATTTGCAATGTAAAGTCTCATTAACGTAAAGGCCAAATGAATCAATTTCATTGAACATCAACGACAAAACAACGAATGGAAACAAACCTCCGTCTCGAGAAAACGAATACGACCATTGGAAGTAGATTCTGAGTGCGCAGATGCTCGATTAAATTCGTATATATATTCTTATCCTCAAAAATGCAACAAACCTTTCCTTCTGTATCAACAAAAAACAAATAAAATTAATCAAAAAATTCAACAAAAAAAAATCAACTCCAAATCATCGCACGTTACCGTTTTACTGTTTGGTCGAAACGATTTCGGGCCGTAGTTTACTTTGCGTAACTTTGACTTCGCCTCAGTGACGAGTGTGTATCTGCAGATATGAAGCATATATCTTCATGAAATAATAAGTGAGCACTAAATGGAAATCTAAACAGAATATTGCAAAACTGTCACCCTCTCGTTATGAATTGCCCGTTCGAATCGACAACTTTGAATAGATCCTTTCGGGTCTTCCCGTCCTGACCCGTGTACAAATAATGTTCCAGTGGGACTGGACGTCTTGATGTCATCACTACGTTGATCTTTCGATTCTTTATTCGACTGCAAACGAGCGAATAATGCAAGTAATGACAACAACAATAAACAATATTAATATTAATGATAACAACAAGACTCACCCCACCCAATCAGCAAACTCAACACAATTCGGCACTGTTGCACTTAACATAACGATTTTCACATGCCCAGGTAACATTATCAGTACCTCTTCCCATACATGGCCTCTCTATAAAAACGAACGATGGTAACAAATACAATACTGAATAAAAATAATAATAATTCAAAAACACTAACCTCAACGTCATTGATATAATGCACCTCATCAAAAATCACCCATTCCAGCTCACGTATCACTTCAGATCCATTGTATAACATCGACCTAACATACAATTAACAGTTATGACAAGTAACAACAACACTCTCAACAACAACGACAATCCAAACAAATCACCTCAAAACCTCAGTGGTCATAACCAACGCAAAAGCATCCGTATGCAACTGGATATCACCGGTGATCAATCCGACTTCATCAAAAACCATTTTGAAATCACGGAACTTTTGATTCGATAATGCCTTTATTGGTGATGTGTAGATCACTCTAAAACATTACTCATTAATGATAATAGATCAATAATAATAAAAGCAAAAAGATACCTCGTCCTATTAATACTGCTCAACGCCACCGCATATTCAGCCACAACTGTTTTACCCGCTGAGGTATGTGCTGCCACAAAAACTGACTCTCCTTTCTCCATACACACAACCGCTTTTTGTTGAAACATATCCAGTTCGAATGGATACTGAATTTTGCTATTTTATTTACTACGTTACACATTTTCGAATTAAAATTTCCGTTGTAA